GGGGCGCTGCATGCTACTTGCAAAGGCAATAAAAACCTAGGACTTGGCTTCCCTCCTACAAAGTATGGATCCTTGGCAAATCAAGTTGTTGAAAACTCCGCGGCCTGATGTGGAACTTCCTCCAGAGTTGCTAGGAGTTCTCTGAAAGACTTTAAAGGCCTCTGTGAGCCTTTCAGACCCTGGGCTAGCATGCCAGGTAGTTCAGGAAGACTTCGAGCCAAACAAAAAGTGTGGCTGGAGAGTTTCAGAGTTTAAATCTGAAAACGTAGGGGGGTAAATGACAGTTTCTGTGGGGAAAAACCGGAGCAGTGGCCAGAAATAAGTGGGAGGGAGGAAATAAATATGTGTGATAACTTATATGTTATCTGTATATGTAAGGCTGCCATGTCCACTGAGTAACGCCTTTCATCCAAGTCCCTGTCTTCCACTGAACACAGACAGATTTCAACATATTTGTCCTTCATGGTATTTTTATGACACTGTGTAGCCACAAAACACCCTGTGATTTCATCTGGATCTGGCAAGTTCTAGTGGGCAGCCCTGATGATTTAATACCATGTGAAATATGAGTTCCAAATCCATGAACAGTCGCCACTCTCCCATCCCCTGCAAGTCCAAAATTTCCTCAATCACTGCAGTACAGAGAAGACCTTAAAGACTTAGAGACTCAGATATTTATAGGGGTACAATTGCAGAGGTAGCCCTGGAACGACGGGGTTGAAGGTGGAATAGTAGGAGTCAAGGAGGATTGTTTCGGGCCTGCTGAGGTGGGTGGCTGCGCTCGCTGTGGAAGGGTTTGCTGTTGTCTGTTATGAGAGCTCCCTGGCTTGCTCACAAGCAAATAGGACAATGCATCCCCTGCTGGCCTGTCCTGGGAGGAAGGAATTAAGAGAATGACCAGAGGGAGCCGCCACTTCTTTGCGGTGACAGTGAAAGGGAGCCCTCCCCTGTGGCAATCACTCGATTTTCCTTGGGGAGAAATTGGGCCATCTCATTGGGAAAAACATCAGTGATTTTAAGAAAACTTCCACCCTATACTGTGTTTTTCGAAAATAAGACCTACCCATAAAATAAGCCCTAGCAGGATTTCTAAGCATTTGCCCCATATAAGCCCTACCCCGAAAATAAGACCTAGTGATGGACGTGGCTAAACAGCGTATCTGCACAACCCAGGCATTTCATTGTGGAGTGGTAAAGAAGACGAGCAGCCCTTCTCATCTGCTCCAGGAGAGCTCTACTGGTCCACGTGAGAGACTGGGGCCAATGGTTCTAAAGGAAATAGAGTCGCAAGAAATTCACGATGTAATTCGGGGTTTGGAGAGTTATGACGATGTTCCAGAAGAAGATGACTTAACTATATTTGAATAAATGTAGATTGTTGTGCCGTAGTTAAAAAAAAATAACCCATCTCCTGAAAATAAGCCCTACAGTGTCTTCTTGAGAAAAAATAAATATAAGACCCTGTCTTATTTTCGGGGAAACACGGTATTATAAATATCAACATATTAAATCTCCATGTAGTGGTTTATGCCTCTGTGCTCTGTGCTTATGAGCTGAAACTGAGCTCCTTCATTGCCTCAGCTCTGGGCATTCACAGCGTCTTTCCAGAGAACATAGAGGCGGTAAGATGCTTACACAGTCTTGCTCCTGAGCCTTCCCTCAGGGAAGGGAACACTCTCACCCTTTCAGTAAATTCCATCTTGCTGCACATGCCACCTTCAGATTTTTATTGTTCTCTCTCTGGATCTGAAAATCTGTGATTTTACAGTTCTGAAATCATTGTTAAAATAATATTTTCCTTTGTTTTAACTTGACAGGCTCCATATTGGGAGGTTGAACCATTCTTGTCAAAACACTTGTCAATGGCTGCAACACCCAGTTTGTCAATATTAGATAAACCAAGGCATCAGTTCCTGAATTCCTTCCATTAGATAAGAAAAGAAGTAGAAGCTGACTAGCCTGAGCAAGAGTGGGACCCTGTCTCTACTAAAAATAGAAAGATTAGTCAGGTGTCCTGGCACGTACCTGTAGTCCCAGCTACTCGGGAGGATGAGGCAGATGACACCACTGCACTCTATCTGGGGCAACAGAGAGACTCTATCTCAAAAAAAGAAAAAAGAAACCCTGAAGAAGTCAAAGCTTTAAGCAATGATGCGGTTATTTTTGGAAACATCCGGTGCAGGGCTTGCCTGACAAGTTTTCATCACAACAGAGGCTGAGGCTTCCTTTTTCCTCCCTTCTTCCCTCCCCTCCCCTCCCCTGCCCTCCCCTTCCCTTAACTTCCCTTTCTCCTCCTCCTCCTGCTCTTCCTTAATTCTCTTACCCTCTTCCTTCTCCTCCTCTCCTCTCTCTCCTCCGTCCCTCATCCTCCTCCTCCCTCACTCTGTTGCTCCAGGCAGAGTGCCATGGCATCATTATAGCTCACTGCAGCCTCGAACTCCTGGGCTCAAGCAATCCTGCTTCAGCCTCTGGAGGAGCTGGGACTACAGGTATCTGCTGTGTCACCTGGCTAATTTTTTTTCTATTTTTTAGTAGAGACAAAATCTTGCTCTTGCTCAAGCTGGTCTCTTTTTCAATGCTCACAGTTCACTGCTCACTGACTGGTTAAACTGCCCAGGGCCTTGGCTCGGCTGCCGCAGTGCATGTACGCCTAGGCTGGGCTTGCACTGTGCATCCTGGATTTTTCTAGGCAAGCTCCCAGCAGTTCAGACTGAGCACATGTAATTAGAACTTTGTGCAACTGTCCTGTCTTCTAACTGATGAGGTTCACCACTTTTGATAAAAGCAGGATCATCTTGTTCTCATCTGAGGCCCGTGGGGCTCTAACGAGCTCAGCAATGATTCTCCCAACCCCCCATCCAATAATTCCAAGAGGCCACCATGATGAAAGGTGGGAAGGAGAAGAAGGGGGTTTGAGAGGTGATGAGGTAGATCAAGAAAACATGAGCTAATTTCTCTACTGAAGGAAAATGAAAGGGTACCTTTCCCCCTCCTCCTATGGCTACTAAATCAAAAGGCCATAAGGGATTCTCAGCTCCATCTGACCATGTCAAAGGCCCATGGCAGGAAGGGGAATTGGGGGGTTGGTCTATGGCATAGATTATTTAGTTTAAAAATGGGATTTGTGTAACTTTTTCTTGAATTTGCCCAAGGACAGGTCTTCATTACAAAGGCTTCACCAGAATTACACAGATATCATTCTACTGAGAGCTGGACCTCAGTCATGCAAGGGTCAAGGCAGGGTCACCTGAGCACCAAACTTGTCTTCTTAAGAGAAAGTGATTCCTCCAAGGATTTAATCTGCAAGAACCTAGTGGAGGCCTCTTGGGGTGGAGAAGGGTGGGAGAAGAGAGGTGAGGTGAGAAGGTGGGACATTTGGAATTCAATTTTTGAATTCCCCATTAATTAGAATAATAATGATTGTTATATGTTGCTTTTGTCTTCCATGCCTTAAAGGTAACCTTGTATAGATTCACTTGGAGAAGATAATCAAGAAAAACAATATTTTTGCAGTCTTCTTCTACACCTCAATTTATCTGTTCTTACTTTAAAACAGCAAGTTTCCTCCATGCAGATGTTCTCTCTGTGGAGTGTGATCCTTTCACGAGAGGCAAACTGTTAAGTTAGAGGCCCCACTGACTTCTGGGTTCCGACATAGGCAATCCAAGTGGTTGCTGGCCAGAGGGGCCCTCGCTGGCTTCTAGTGCCTTTTTCCCGTTCCCTCTTCTGGGCTAGGATTAGGTCGTTGGTTGGCATATAAACAATGGCTTCCCAAATTAGTCAGCAGGGCTACAGCAGGTCCTAAGACCTTCTTTCCGTAGAATCAAAGGTGTTTACACTCCACATTTATTTATTAATTAACAAATATTTACTGAGCCACTATCAAGAGAACACAGTGATTAAAAAGCATGAGTTCCAGAGACCGATTGCCATGGAGAATGCCACCTTTGTCACTTATGATCACTGTGACCTTGGCAAGTTGTAACTCCTCTAAGCTCAGTTTCCTCTTCTATCAAAGAGCGACAGTAATAGTTCCTGCCTTGTAGGGGTTTGTAAGGATCCAGTAAGAGAATGCAGTAAGGATGTCTGTGAAGTCAGCCTACAGTAAGAACTCGGAGCTGTTTTATCAGGCAAACTGGGTTTGACAGGCTGTGAGCAGGAGACAAGTTAATTTGTTCCTCTACTGCCCTTCCTAATCCCATCAGGCAGGCCCCATAATGTTCCTTGTCACTCTCAGATAATAAAAAGTCCTCGGATCAATTTTGGTGCCAAGAAGACTCTCCTTCCAGAAATTCAAATGTCTAGTCTGGTACCGTAATCAAATCTTGGAGCTCTATTTAATTTCGAACTTCTCTCCACTCAGCTTGCTTCAGGCTAGAAACCCAAGTGGAAGAAGGAAGAGTAGCTGGCTTCCTGTCCCCACCCTAGCTCTATTTCCTACCCACTCATTAGCTATGATTTCTGACTTCTCCAAGGTCAGGGGGAGAGGAAGTTACAGGACAAGGCACAGCTGGCTCTGGCACTGAGGCTCCTGTGCTTGGCAGTTGCCCAAAGCTCATTCTCTTCTTGTTGCCAGGCAGGTAGCCTCAGCCACTGCCCCTGCTGTTGGCATCTCTCAGGCCGGTGTCAGATACCAGGACTTCATGGCCCTCCCCCTACGAGTGGGGACCTTGGTCAGCCCCTCCTAGTGCTTCTCCTGAATCCTTTCTCCCTGGGCTGGAGGTGCAGAGGAAGCACATCCCTTCTCTCCCATCCGAGTACTAACCAGGCCTGACCCTGCCTAGCTTCTGAGATCAGATGAGATCAGGTGCATTCAGGGTGGTGTGGCAGTAGACAGCCCATCCCTCTTCTGTCCTGTCCTGCTCAGGTGGGAAGTGGCCCTGCGCCCCAGCCACAAGTCCAGCCAGAACAAGGCGGAGAGAGATCAGAGCGTGTCCCTCAGATTCTAAGGGTTTTGGCTAATTTGGCTGTCCCTCCCCCCACTCTCCCCTTTCTTCCAGTGCCCTGGCTGGTGCTCAGCGAGATCTTCCCCGGTGGCATTAGAGGACGAGCCATGGCTTTAACTTCTAGCATGAACTGGGGCATCAATCTCCTCATCTCTCTGACGTTTTTGACTGTAACCGGTAAGATCTCTTTGTCTTCCTCTAATGTCTTTTGCCCTCATAGGACAAATGTCAGGGAAGCACGCCCATGGAGAAACCATTTTACTGCGGAAAGTGTCAAACACACTCAGAAGGGAGGAAGGTGGCCACGCCCCTCATGTGCCTGTCACTGAACCTGAGCCGTTCTCAACCTTATTTACAACCCCACCTGCTCTGCCCTCTACCAGTTTGTTTTACACCACGTCCCACACTTAACATCACTTTGTCTATAAAATTTCAGGGCGGACCTTTAAAAGAGAAGACATTTAAACAAATATAACACAACATCATTATCATACTTAAAATAGTCATAATCATCCCTTAGTATCAAATATACCATCTCTGTTCACATTCTTCCAATTGTCTCAGAATTATTTTGTATACATCGTTTGTTTGAATCACGACCCAAATACATAATTTACAATTGATTGACATGTCTCATAATTGGTAGGTTTCAGCTCCATTCCCCCCACCGTCCCCACCCCACCTTATGTTTTTAGTGAAGTTGAAAATAATTCGGTTCATAGAATTTTCCAGTCTGGATTTTGTTGACTGTAGTCAGGTTGCACGTCCTTTGTGTTTCCTGTTAATGGCTGTTTAGATCTGGGTAGGGGCTTGAGGAGACTTTTTGTTTGTTGGCAAACTCCTTTGCAGGTGACGGTGGTGTGTCCCGCCACTGGGAGGCACGTCGGGTCCGGCTGCCTGTCACTTTGTCATGTTGGCCTCCTTTCATGATCATTTCTCAGACCCAGCCCTTTCCTTATGTCACTCCTTCTAAATTTTTATCTGAAATACCTCCCCAGAGAGAAATTTCTTCTCATTAGCTATTTGGCTACCCTGAAGTGTGGGTCATATAAGAAAGGCAAGATAAGTGCTTGAAGCTTTCTCTTTACGTTCTAGTCTTCAAAATGTTGAGGCGGTCCTCTAGCATCCTCCAAAATCGACCAGTGAGTTGGGTTTTCCTTTTTTTCACATAAATATGAGGGACATGTGTCATGACTACAATCTACAAAATCCAGACTGTGGAGAAGGCTATGAAACAAATGACCCAGTTCCTTCATTCATATATATATTCTTCATATATCTAATTTTCAAAAGTAGATGTTTACTCAAACACATGTGCACATATACACCCACACACACATATATACACACATATATACATATATACACACATACGCATACATATGTATAGTTAGTATATCTACTTTAGGAAATGAACTTTTTGAGTTGCTAATTAAGCATGGTTTGGGTTTTTATATAAAATTTTCAAATGTTTATGTCCTACATTTTTAGAAATAGCCCAAGATTGAAGGAAGCAATAATTGTTAGCATTGTCCATACCTCTGTTACTCAGATCACACACACAGACATGTGCCCTTCCTCTTCTCTCTTTCTCTCTCTCTCTCTCTCTCTCTCTCTCTCACACCCTCCATCTGTCGTTTGGCATGGAGAAAGAGATATAAAAGAATGGAAATGAAGAGGCATGAAAAAAGATGACACAGATCTCCGGGAAGGCCAGCTAATATATTGGATGAGCTCATGAAAATTCAGAAGTTCTTCTGCAAGGGGTTTTAGAACAAATGTTAGGCAAAGAGATCCACTTTAAAAAAAAACAAAAAACCTTGGAATGATCTAAAAATATTCAGATGACATTTAATTGGAATGCTTGAAATTTTCGACTTATTTTCAAAGATCAATTTTCCAAGTGTGGGAGAGACTCAGAGGATGTGAGGTTCTACTTGGCAGCAAGCCCTTGGACACCGATATATTTCAATGCAGTTTCAGCTGTATCAATACAAGCGGACGGTGGCAGATAGACAGATGTCCTCTGCAGCGGTCACGACACAGCTGCGGTGTTGTGTTCTGCTCTGAGTAGATTATTTTGAGAGGGTTGTTTAAAGATTGCAGTGTTCACCGAAGGAGGGCAGTAACCTGTGGGCTGTGAAGAATGGTTGGGAGAGTTCAGAATGTTTGATCAGACAAGAGGATACTCAGAGAAGGGATGAGGTACATCCAAATATTTGAATGGCTGTCATGGAGAAGGGGTGGGGAGAGCTGATTCAATGTGTGTTGTACCAGAGGACAAAGCAGAACTCTGAAAGGCAGATTTGGGAAAACTAAGCAAAAAATAACTTTTTAACACGTAGAGCTGTCTCACGAGGCAGTGAGAGACTTTAAGAAGCGGTGCGCTCCCTGTGACTGAAAGTGCTCACACAGAACTGGGGACCAGTTTGATGAGATGACCTTTGGGAGTTTTTACAATTCCTATCTTCTGGTTCTTTATGCTTCAGAGAGAAAAGAAGGCCCAATTCTACAAGCACTTTATTAAGCAATCAGTTGAGCAAAACCCTGTGCCAGCAGCAAGAAAAGCAGAGAGAGATGGGAGTTTAATTAAAATTGCCAAAAGAACTGCAGCGCTGTTCCTTCTCCCTGCTTCTCCCCACCCCAGCACAACTCACTGGCCAGTGGTCACTGTGCTTCCATCCATCCCCCGTGCATTTACAAACACTGCCTCAGTACCCAACTGCTCGGTCAGTTTTCCTGCCTGACCAGCTGTGATGTGTGGTAGCAGCTGTTAAGGGTTATTTGCAAATATTGTTTGCAGTTGCTCTGAGCCTATGTTCAAAAAGAGCCAGCTTCTCTCTCACACTCCCTGACACACTGCACCTTTTGCAGCGAAGGCAGGGGCTGGCACAGTGCCAACGGCAGACTCAAGTGCATTGAAGGCCACTGCTTGCCAGTTCCTGCACCTTGACCTTGCTTTGTGAGTACAAAGGGACTGTATTTTTGGCCAGAGGTGGTCAGAGGAAAAACTAAGCTGACAGGTGAGATCCATCAGAATCTTGAAGATCCTGCTTCTTGAGGATGCATCTTGGCAAGTTGACGTCTTTCATTGGACCTGCGATCAGTTTTTTGTCTGATCCCAGGAGGAAGCCCTACAAACACAATGCCAGCTATTAAAAATGATGAAATATTGCCAGCATGGAATGAGTTACTCAAATCAGAGTAAAGAAGGATGAGTTCATTCCAAGAAAAGTCCATCTGTACAAATATGCCATTAAAAATGTCCACCAAATAGAAACCAAACTGCTAACAGTGGTGATTCCCAAGAGGGAAACGATGGAGGGTGACAAGAGATACTTTACCTTTTGCATCATGTGCTTTGTGTTGTTTGAGGCTCTCTTTTGCAGTGAGCATGTGCTTTTTTATGTTAATAGAGACACATTGCCATTTTGAAAAAGACATGCCCACCAAGAAGATTGCATTGGGTTTAAATCGTGATACTTGCAAGGCTGCTATTTACTTTACCAGAGAAAGCTGAGGTAGTTTGTAAAAATAAATCTTTCAGAGCTTGCTACATTTTAAACTTTGTGATTCCTACTTTCCTAGATACTACTGGCACATCTGAAAATATGTAAAGCTTTATATATGCCCTAAGAAGCGGCTGTTCACAAATGGGATCAGAGCAACACAAAACACATTTCTAATCAATTTCTTTTGTTCTTTATAGATATTATTGGCCTGCCCTGGGTGTGCTTCATATACACAATCATGAGTCTAGCATCCCTGGTTTTTGTTATTGTGTTTATACCTGAGACAAAGGGATGTTCTTTGGAGCAAATATCAATGGAGCTAGCAAAAACGTAAGTATTTTGTATTCTTTGCCTTGGTTTCCCAACAATACTCCTTGGTCAAAAGTGCAGCTGTTACATACAACTAAGTAATAATATTTGAAATTACTTTAGGATATTCCCTTTGGTGCAAAATGCAGCAGTTTCCAACCTTTGTGGCACCAGGGACGGGTTTCATGAAAGACAATTTTTCCATCCACTGGGTTGGGGAGTGGGGGAGGAGGCAGAGGTCAGATGGTGATGGGAGCTACGGGGAGCTGCTATAAATATAGATGAAGCTCCCCTTGCTCAATCTTTGGCCCAGGGGTTGAGGACTGCAGTCGCAATGCATAATTCTGACTTCCCTGCCTTGTCTTTAATTTGGGTGATTTGGCTAAAGAAATTGAATAACCATTGCTTTCCAACAAGTGACCTTTTCTTTCTTCCTTCCTTTCTTTCTTTCTTTTTTTGCGATAGTCTCTCTCTGTTGCCTGGCTAGAGGGCAGTGTGGCATCATCACAACTCACTGCAACCTCGAACTCCTGGGCTCACGTGATTCTCCTGCCTCAGGCTTCAGAGTAGCTGGGACTGCAGGCATGTGCTACCATGCCTGGCTAATCTTTCTATTTTTTGTAGAGACCCGGGTCTTGCTTTTGCTCAGTCTGGTCTTGACCTCCTGACCTCAAGCAATCATCCCACATCAGCCTCTCGGAGTGCTAGGATTACAGGCATGAGCCACTGTGGCTAGCCCAGACTTTCAAAGCTCTGTTTAGTAACAACCATCGCAGAACCTCTTCCATCTCTCTGGCTCCTCCACACAGGAGGTTTCTTTGGGGTTTTGAGTAGGTCTGGGACACCCTGGGCTAGGGCCTTGGGCCTCAGCTCTTCCATGTCTATCAGACTTATAGGTCTCTGAGCCCTAAACACTTGCTAAAGCTAAGATTAGCAGAAAAATTCTTGGGTTTAACCATCGACAACTGTATTAAATATTGCATGTTCAAGGTAATGTTAAGAAAGATAAAATTTCTTATATGAATAGACATTTAGAAAACAGTTAAATAAATTTCACATGGAGAGGTATTTAAACAACGTAACTTAAAAGTGAAACAATTTAACTTAGAGGTGGGCCCTGAAAACTCCTTTTTCTTTTAGTAGATTTAGCTGCCAAAGCCATGGCCTGGGGGAAAAGGTGACAGAAGGGGCTAGGAATGAAGGAGAACTTGTTACCCTTCCTAGGATTAAAACATTTCACTGAGGAATGTAGGGATACTTGTTCTTGAGTTTTAATATAATGGGAGCAAACTACATTTTTACGTTTGTGGTTTTCTTGTAAAAATACTTTCAAAAGACTGGAGAGAAATGTGTGATTACAGATACTGTGGACATAGTGATTATTTGGCTTTTATCTGAAGGAAAAGTAACGCTGACAGGTGAATTAATGGTAGGCATATGTGTGCATATATATTTATATTGGCCAAATTGTTAATCTTGGTAGGGGGTGTAATAAGTATATATAAAACATTATATAATTGTATTTTTATATTATTTAATTAATATATCACTTTATTATTTAATTTTATAATTAATAAATTATAAAATTATATTTTAAATATAATATACATTTAAAATATATTTATATATTTATGTTCACCAAATATTACACTCCTGGTAGGGGGTGTAATAAGTACATAAATATAAGTATGTGTAAAATATATAAAATATAAAAATAAGTATATAAATATATATTTATATTGGCCAAATTGTTAATCCTGGTAGGGGGTGTAATTAGTAGGATTGTGAAAATTTTTCACTTTGTGTTCTACTCACTTATAAATGGCTTAAATTTTAAAAATATTTTACTCTATGAAAAGCAGGGAAAAAGTCTCTCGATTTAAGCCATAAGGTAAATATCAAATTGTAGGTTTAATTTTTGATACAGATGAGGCCATTTTTAAAAAAATATAAAAATAAAATGCAAATGATTCATTTACAATGAGAAATATAATTGCCAGTAAGGCTGGATGCGCCGTTGGCCTGACCGCGCATTGCCGGCTCTATGCAAGCTGCAGCCCAATGACTGGATTTCTTGGCGAACATAGAGTCTGAATGAAACTATTAATTAAAAGTATATGATTTAAATCATTAATGGCCTCAGACCTTGATAACTGCAATGCATCCATCTGTAAATTGGTAACATTGCTGATAGATTCAGGTCTTTTCCAGAACTGAGATGGCAGGACACCAACGACTTCCAAGTCTATGAATCTTCCTTCATTTCTCATCCTTCTTTTTGCCTGTGTCACATCAGTTACCTATCGCTGCATGACACAGCCTCCCGATTGTAGCGGTTTACAACAACTTACTATGTCCTGCGCTTCTTTGGTTTGGCTGAGTGGTGCCTCTGCTTGCTTCACTGGGGCTCACTTGTGCGGCTACACGGGCAGGAGGGCGGGCGGATGTGACCACGCAGGTGGCAGCAGGTGCTGGCTGCGGTGGGGAGCTTCAGTTCTCCTGCAGGACACTGTGTGGCTCCCGCACATGTCACACTCGGGCAGCAGCCCCAGGGACTGAAGGCAGGAGCTGCACGGTCTTGTGGGGTGGACATTCTGGAGCTCACACATCACTTCCACCACTTCCTACTGTCAGTGCAAGTCCAAGGCCAGCCCAGATTCAAGGGCTTAAGAAACAGACCTAACCTCTTGATGGGATGAAGAGCAAAGAATGGCCACATTTAATCTATCACACCTATGCATTCTTTCTTGAAATTCTCTTTTAGCTCCTGTGAAACAGTCTTCTTCCCTGGCTCCCCTCCTACCTTACTGACTCTTCTCTCCTTATTTCTCCCTCTGTTTATCCGGTATAGTCATCTTTGAAGATTTGGCCCCATGTTCTTAGGCCTTAAGACTCAATGCAAATCCTGGTCCTCGAATCCCTGAGTAACTCCAGCCCTGGAAAGCACTTCTTTTTCCTGGATTTGCAGTATCTTCTAGTCCCTTTTCTTCTATACTGCCGTAGCTAGCACCCTTGTGGTTTTGCCTCCCTTTCATAACTAGGTTATGAAGTTTTAGTTTCCAGGGAAGCTTTTTGCCCATCGTCTTTCTTATGTAACCTCTACAATGCCTACCTTCATATTGGCTCCTAGATGATAAAACAGTACCCACTGTTTGATTTGGTAACTTGTTTCACTGGCTTCACAGTAAAGTGTACGTGCACTTTAAACTGTCCATCTCATAACTCAGGGAACAAAATTCCTTTAAAAGTAAAGTTTTCTTAAAATTCTTAACCAAAAGTCAAGGAGAGAGCAGTGATTTAATTGAATGAAACTAAGAGCCTACTTTACTATCATTCCCTACTGTTCTTACTCACTTAAGAAAGTCTAACTTGAAAGCAGAATGTTCTGTATGAGTTAAGATTCAGGAACTTTCAAATCTATTTTTTCATATAGGGTTATTAAAATGTATCAAATCGCAAATCGGAAGCCGGGAGTGGTGGCTCATGTGTGTAATCCCAGGGACTGGGGAGGCTGAGTGAGGCAGGAGGATTGCTTGATGCCAGGAGTTTGAGACTAGCCTGGGCAACAGAGAGAGACCCACTCTCTTAAAAATAAAAAATAAATTGCAAACTCAATGAAAATTTTGAAGACAGAACTAGGCCTGGTGCAGTGGCTTATGCCTGTAATCCTAGCACTTTGGGAAAGCAAGGTGGGAGGATTGTTTGAACCCAGGAGTTCGAGACCAGCCTGGGCAATAGCAAGACCACATCTCTAGAAAAAATTAAAAAAATAAAAAAATTAGCAGGGCACAGTGGTACATGCCTGTGGTCCCAGCTACGCAGGAGGCTGAGGCAGGAGGATTGCTTGAGACCAGGAGTTTGAGGCTACAGTGAGCTATGATGATGCCAGTACACTCTAGGCCTGGGCAACAGAGTGAGATCCTGTCTAAAAACAGAAAAAGAAACTTTAAAGACAGAATTTACGAAAATCTAATCTTTTCATCTAATGGGCTTCCAGAGTAAGACATTTCTTTTAAGAACATTATGATGTGGGTATCTAAAACTCAACAAAGCTTACTAATTCAGAATTTGGGGTGGGGAAAGAATCTAAATTAGTAAAATTCTGCCTTATGAAATGTATTTGAAAGAATCACATTTCTGTTACTTTTGAGTCATGCAATATTCAATAAAACCAGACCCTCTCCAACAAAGTTATACATTGCATATTAGGAGAGGACCAGAAGCTAAAGGTACGGTGAACCCCTAGAGAGACTACACGAATACTGCAAGGTTTGCACTGAAGAACAAACTGGTGCAGACTATTATAAAAGGTGAGGTGGCAAAGCAGTTCTGCACTTTAAAGTCATTATAGCAGCAGTAGTATCAGCTAGGTGTGTTGTGGGGAAGCCCAGTACTGAGGACAGAAAAGTTGCTTTTAGAAATCTTGGTTAACTCCTATTTATGCAATATTAGCCAGCTAGCTGAAGCAGCAGGTTGGCAAAGGCTTTTTTTTTATTTTTTTATTTTTTTACTTTTTTTGAGACAGAGTCTCACTTTGTTGCCCAGGCTAGAGTGAGTGCCATGGCGGCAGCCTAGCTCACAGCAACCTCAAACTCCTGGGCTCAAGCGATCCTGCTGCCTCAGCCTCCTGAGTAGCTGGGACTACAGGCATGCGCCACCATGCCCGGCTGATTTTTTCTATATCTATTAGTTGGCCAATTAATTTCTTTCTATTTATAGTAGAGACGGGGTCTCGCTCTTGCTCAGGCTGGTTTCGAACTCCTGACCTCGAGCAATCCACCCGCCTCGGCCTCCCAGAGAGCTGGGATTACAGGCGTGAGCCACCGCGCCCGGCCAGCAAAGGCTTTTAAAAATGGAAATGTCAGCAGTCTGACTTATGTAAGTTGACCAAAGTATATCTGAAGTATGTATGTTAAACAAAAGACAAAAAAATAAACAAGTTATCAAATTAGTTAAGAAAATGTGAGGTGGCAGAAAGCCCATGGAACTTGCTAGTATGCAGAAGCCAAAGTGAACTTGAA